ACCGCTGGAACGAATTGCGTTCGTTATGCGAGGTACCACTGTACATTGTTTCCCCCTGAGATTGTGATTTGACCAACTGCACGCGACTGCTGGGTGAAGAAGGAGACGTTGAAACTTGGCATTTGGACTCGGTGAAATCTCCTGAAGTGGAAGTTGCAGGTCTCTACTCGTATCGTGCCGACCGACCACATCACGCCACTGGAGCAGACGAAGGGAGTGACGTCACATCCTTGAAGGAGGTTGCTTGCGCTGTACAGCAACCGCACCACTTCGCCGGCGGACGGGATCGGAGGAGGATGCGGCTGCTGTCCTAGCTTCTCGTCGGGTTCGCCTGGAGGGCGATGGGGACCAAAACGACTCAGGGATTCTTCTCGCCGCAGAACTTCAATATGAAGATCACGACTCCGATTTCCGAGGTTGCCGTTCTTTTGGATCTTCAGTGCGCCATGGCTTGCACGCGGTGAGTCCCCCGAACCATGTATTAAGACGGTGACTGCCTTCGAAGTAGTTGGGAATCAAATGTCTGAAGGCATCTCGAATTTCACAGTTCCGTTTCCCATGCAAAAACATATAGAATTGAAAAACGTTCCTTTGGTCGTAAATTCGCGAACTCCTGGGCATACGAAAGGGTATGTTTGCAATTGGGTGTCTTGATGGGTGCAGGCGAATACGCTAGCAGAGAGAATCTTTTCCTCGAACCGCTTATAGCTGCTGGCTGAAAGGACATCTCGTTCCTTCGGCGCGATCGCGTCATCAAATGTCGTCACTCTCGGGCAAGCAGCTGCCAGCGAAACGCAATGAACTGTGAGATTGTTCGGCAGAATCGCCCAGAAAGAAGACGTAAACAAAAACAAGACCTCGAATTCTGGAGCTTGGCTGCGGGCTGGCCCGGTGGGCCCGACGCGAACCGCTGGTCGGGTTCCTTATGGTCGATCGAGTTCCGTGTCGGGTGTGGGGCGAAAATAAAGTCATTATTCCTACGTGCTACTATGAGAATAGCCGATCAGGAAAATTAAAATGGTATGTAACAAAGTTGAACAAGGTTAGGCAAGTTGATACCGCTTCCCAAAGAAATTCGCGATGTAGCCGATATAAATAGAATTGGACATGATTAGGATTAATTGGAATCTCCGATTTTTTTTTTCCATTCAGGAACTCGACATGCTTGAGCTACTCCGTGACACAGACGTCAGGGACTGTCGTATGCCGCTTCGGATCCAGATACGACGAACCGAGGACTGCCGATCCAAGCAGCACATTCTTTTACAGAGAAATACCAGAAGGTGAATTCATATTTTCTTTTGACGAAAATTTTGAGAGCGAATATAGCTGCAACGAGAGGAGCGAACTTTAATTACTTAATTAACCAATTAGATAATGAAGTAATTAAGTTTCGCTTTTTTACTTGATTTCGACGCGGTGAGATGCTATTACAGCGAAATTCCTCTTCCTGACCAGACTGCCCCAACCCACGAATTTCTCGTACACTGGATTCTATAACTCCGCAGGTAGTGGCAAAGATGTCGCTACCTGCACTCGATGGAAGCGCTCCTACGAATTCTATCTGGAAGCATTGCAAGCGAAATGCAGCGCAGAAAAACTCCAATTCAAGCCACGTTCGCCAAGAAAAACCTTTTTTTTTACATAGGGATATGGAGAAAACGCGAACGAAAATATCAAACGTAGAAGCTGGGATCGATGTGAACAAATGAACTCTCGTTTACGAAAGGTTTGCAGTGGTTTGCAGAAGATTTTTTCTAGTAGGGATTTTGATCTGCTCGTTTTCATCGTTTTTAAAGATTCGCAGCTTTTTGTTACCGAACGTTTCGCTCCCGTAAATATGAATACTTCAAAACGTCTTTCCAGTGTCTCGATGCCATGACGTCTCAATAATTATTTTTATTTTTGATTTTGATGATTCAATGAATAGTAAGACCGATCATCCTGACGTAAAAAAGAAGTTGTACAACCATCGATTGAATGAGGCAAAAAGAGACGACATGTCCTATCGTGTGAACAGTGTATCTTTGAGATTCAGTCACTCAAAATTCGTTTTGAACATTTCAAACATAAAACGATGTTTCGCATTACCGAAAAGCAGTGGTCCAAAAGAGCGAGCATTGGTCCATAGCTTGGCCCAACAATGGCCCCTTCATGGCAACGTCGGTAGATCATTGGCAACGTGGCAGGCATGCTTGGCCCATTCTTGGCTCACGCTTGGCTAGCCATTTTTTAGCACTTCATTGGTGGAGGACATAGGCCCATTCATGGTTCCAGGCTTGTTTCCTATCATTGGCGTAACATTGGCAAAAGGCAGTCCCAATAAAGGCTTCAGGTTGGCTTGCCGTTTTTGACCCATCATTGGCAAAAGACACAGGCTCATAGACGGCAATTTGTCTATCCCATATCGAACGGTTGGGTTGTTCCAATGTGCCTCAGTTGCACTTGAAAGTGTCCGAGAGATGAAGTTCTCGTGTAGGCCTCTAGATGGCAGCATCGTTCTCACTTTCCAGACAATACCCAAAAGTAGCCTTCATCCTTTCTCTAGATTTGTCCTTCACAAAAGTACATAGTACCATATTATATATTTCATCATGTCTCATAAAGGCGATCAATCGAAGCCGTCATTTCTTCGTTTATTACCTCCATATTCCTGACAGATTCATGGAGTTCAAGAATTAATCAAGATAATATTGCCTATCAGAACCCCTGCCGTAGCATAATTCTTCCTTCAAATTGATCAATATCAAGTGATATATACATATGTACCTGCGATATATATATGATATCTTGGACCCGAACAATTTGCTAATATTGGGTCATTCTTGCCCCCAATTCATTAAAACCCATTGGCCGATGAGAATCGGCCAATGGGTTTTAATGAATTGGTTACGTTACGGGATCGGCCCATCGTTGGCGACCATGGGTGGTCGAAGCACTTTGCCGATGATATGCCATGCTTGGCCCAATGAAGTCTTGCTATCTGGGTAGTGTGAATCATAATTTTTTTCCGAACGTATTATTGGCATGTACTTGCCAGCGCTTGCCTCTTCACTTGACCTTAACTGTGGAAACATCGGCTTCCGTGAAGGGTACACACTGGCACCGGGAACGAGGAGTTACGTGAAGATGACCGTGAGTAGCATCAACGCTAACGACGCCGCGACCGCGTGCCAGAAGGAGGGCGCTCAACTCCTCTCCTCCAACAACGCGGCGGTGCACAACCACACGATGCAGCTGTGGAAGATCAGGCCGTCCGGCACAAACTCTTTCTGGGTCGGCGGGCGGAGCGTCGGGAACAAGAACAGTTGGGTGTTCCCAGACGGTGAGTCGTTCTCGTCGATAGGCATTTCTTCGGCATTTCATCGACGATGCGAAGTTATTTCTCCCCTTTCTTCATTATGCTTGAAAATAGTTCCCATCGAAAGCCTTTGAGCACCGAAATATCTACTAAGTTGCAAGAACTTTTGAAAGGATTTTCTTCACCCCAGAGCTTAGCCTCATGAAAGACAAGTTCGCCGGCATTAAAGGTGATGCGAATTGACAATATTTCCCCCCCCCCCCCCATAAATCCTATTCGTCGGAGACACGTATACCTTCTTATGATGTTTCATATGCTACGGTAATATTTTAATATATCAGCTTAATTCAGGCATCAGCTTCATGCACCACCCTGTGACTCAGCACGATAACCCTTCGTACTTCGTTCATTATTCCTACCAGTCTTCAATTTGCATTTTTCCTGCTCTGAAAGGATCCTCCTCTGTTTTTCAGGCACCACACTGAATGTCACAGGGCCAGGCCAATCTTACTTCTGTTCGGGTGAGCCGAATAACGATCCTGGCTATTGTCAATGGATTTGGGATTGGAAAGGCGAAATCGGTTGCTGGAACGACGCACCTTGCGATAATATTGGGAAAGGATACTTCTGCGAAATCAAACTGCCAAATTGATCCGGCAAGAGGAACTCGATCGCACATCTGTAGATAAGCAAAGGACAAAATAACGTTCCAGTCGTGAATTGACGAATTCCTTGCAAAAATATCTGATTGCTGTGTCGTATGCGTTGCACGTGCCAGGCGATTCTGAAAACATTTAGCTTCATTCTGGATGAGAGATTCAACTACCCCAATGGTACAAAAAATAGGGTCAACATAGAATAAGCATCGAATCGGCATTTAATGAATGTCGATTCAATGTTTTGCGCTACTGGGATATGAACCACTTTTGGAAGTTTTTGAAAGAGGAAAAGCCCTGCTCTGGTATTCCTTCGTCACGCAAGCACATATGCAGAGTGGATTTAAATGCGACGCTTTCTCATGATTTTTTTTTGGTAGGGGATATGTGAATAAACATAAGCAATTTCTTGTCGTGTATGCACCCAGTATGACGTAACAGGAACAAGATGCAAAATTGTCACAACTCCCCGCTGATATTTTCTATTTGGAATATGAGTCTTCTAAGATCTTATGAACCTGGATCAGGCATTTCTGAACCCATGGAAAACATGGAAATTGTCAAAACCATTTCTTGGCTTTTTTCAGGGTTGACAGGTAATTTTTTTTCACTCTGTCCATGTTTTTTTTTACATCCCGTTTCCTTCAACATTTAAGCAATGCATTGCTTATTAGATGCCTTAATTAATGTGCTCATAATGAATGAAAACGATGCATTTCCATGTGCATGCCCTTTTTTTCAATTCCCAGTTTAGTCAAGGATGTAAATTGGGGGGGTGGGGGGGGAGGTCAAGGCAACTGCACTCTTTAGTGTGTATTAAACAATTTTTTATTGGCTCACTTTATTCCCTGTGATGTAATAGCTTGAATGTATGGCTTTCTCGGCTCCTGTTATAATTCGCCTTTATTTTCTGTAAGTAGGACTGGCATTAATAAGCAAACTAATGTTTGTTAAGTAGTATGAATCCTAATTGAATGCAATTCTTGAATCATTATGTCAACCCTGTGGCAATCCTGTGGCAACCCTGTGGCAATCCTGTGGCAACCCTGTGGCAATCCTGTGGCAGTCCTGTGGCAACCCTGTGGCAGTCCTGTGGCAGCCCTGTGGCAACCCTGTTGCCAGTTTTAGTGCAGCAGGATCACACCCTGCCCTGGGAGTGTTCGTGCCACGTTTAAGAGGTTTTTTCGTTCGAAAGTAAGATTCATCTTTTAGGAGCCCTTTCTGTTTCATCCACGGTTGGCAAGCATATCGAATAAATAAATGCATATCCTGCTGCATCACTAACCAAGAGTCAATCTTGATTCCGTCTTCCTCGCTGCGCGGCTTGCAACTGCGAAAATGTATCTGGATCGCTCGAAGTCGGGAAACATTCGTGAGTTCGGAGATCTCGAAGCCTCGGCTCGACTCTGCCTGTGACAACAGTTCAAACCGACAGACTCTTTTCCGCCGTGAAGTAAAAAAATGCGGTAGTAAAAATACTTTCCAAGTATGCCGGGAATGCCTCGTGCATGACCCAAATGGGATTATCGGCGCAGAATCAATTCTCATCACCGACACATGTCGTCATGATGATGGCCTGTCGGTCTCGTCCGGCTTCAATACTAAAAGTCCTGTACGAATCTCAGGAGGTATTTGACGAAAGGAAATACCGAACATATCCCTGGTCTAGGAACCATTTTCAAAAAAAATTTTCTGGCTGAAAAATAATCTTACTGCTCGTCTACGTGGCAACTAAAGAATTCTGAGGAGACGATGGAATTGTTCTCCGAAAACAGCCTATGACCGCAGTGGAGTGGAGTAATTGCGCCTCTGCACTCCCCCCACACCCCACATCCCACCACCCACCACTTCCCCACCCCACATCCCACCACCCACACTCCACCACCTCCTCAACCCACACCCCGCCTTCTTTCCACGCACCATTTCTACAACGCGCCGTCCTCAATCATCAATCACGTCAAGATGAGCAAGATAATCAATATTTTCTATTAAGATTTTTAAAATTGTCCACCGTCGGCTGAGACACAGGCTTTTAAACGCTTTGGAAAGTTGTCCACGATGGCCATCAGTTGTTTCACCTTAATGTCGTCTCAAGCCTTAAGGAAACCCTTCTTCAGCGAATCCACACTGCTGCGCGGTGTCGAGCAGACCTCCTTCTCCAAAACGGACCAGACGGCGTAATCCATGGGGTTGAGATCCGGGGCGTTGTCCGTTGGGAGGAACGTCCGGGGCACCATGGGCCCAGAACTGCTCTCAGGATGCGGTCTCGAGAGGAGTCTTGATGACCAGAGGAGTCTCGCCCGTGCCACAAATCTGAGCCCGCACCATCACCGACTGTGGGAAATGCGACCTGCTCACAGTTTTCTGAGAGCAGTTCTGGACCCCTGGGCACGTGAGCATTTTCTCGGTGTGGCTTCGCTAAATAAGATTTTGCTGAAGGCTTGGGACGACATTAAGGTCGAACAACTGACGACCATCTATCCGAAGCGTTTAAAAGTCTGTATCTCAGCCAACGCTGGACATTCCTTTTGGACGGCCGAATTTTCAAATGGAAATTTTTTTATGCCGTCGGTGCACGATGTCTCATTTTTCAGTTGTCGGACTGCCAACGAAGCGGTTCAAATCTCGCCGAAATTTCCCGTCAGGCATTTCGAGTCCCTGAAACCGCTGCGACAGTTGCCATCGGTAAATTCAGTTCATTTTATCATCTGGTTCTGATTCAGGATCGTACAACTCAGATAGTTTTAAGCAAATCTTTTTTTTTTCTCCTGGGGGAAACTTTATTATTTGCTTCCCGCCCCATATCTTTTTTCGTTTCCAATTTTTTCTTCATCAAAATGAGGTGTTTTTTCCCATCGACGCATGATTAACATTCATCGCAATTAACCTGAAATGCAGGAAAAGTCTCACTGAATTTCACCTGCAGCTCCACAAATGCTGCATATCCGAAAATGTTTTCAACGTAAGCATTGAAAAGTGGAGAAATCGAGGGAGGACCAGTTTAAAATCCCAGCTGGAATATTCCAGCTGGACCAAAGCTGTAAATTCGGACCATTTCCAGCTGGCAAAGAGCTGGAAAACAGTAGGTACCAGTTGTTTCTTGGCTGGAATTTTCAACTGGAATGCAGATGGTTTTAATGGCTGTTTCCAGCTGGAAATTTTCCAGATGGAATTTTATAAAAAGAACCCTACAGCTGGAATGTAGCTAAATTTACAGTTTAAAATCAGCTGTTCCTGTTGATGGATTTCCGACAAAAATAGTCAAAGAAAATATTCTCATTCAGTTAGTTATATTGCAATTAGGAAGAACTCTGGAGTTGACTATTTTCCAGCCGTTACGCAGTTGGAATGGGTCCGAATTTCCAGCTGGAGTCCAGCTGGAAATTATAGCTGTTTCCAGCTGGGATTTTAAACTGAGGAGGAAGAGAAGAGAAGGCAGAGTTGGTCGTCTGAGCACCCTCCCCGCCCCTCCCTCCTCTCGTGAACATCGCGCTAACTTCATTCCAGTCAACTGCATCACCTAATCGGCTTAATGCAAATGTCGTTATAATTGATGTTATCACGCAAGGTGCACTGCGTGACTGCTGGGGGCTTGATGGGATCGACGCTCATATAGTGATAGGTGGAAGAATCGATGTTCGGTTCATGGCTGGACGCGTCGAAATCGAATATGCCATATGGCGGCGCCCATGGGCGCGTGGAATCAGTATGATTTGTTCTTGCCGCCCTCGTGAGCGTTGAGAAATGTTTCTTCCTTCGTTGCCGTTTCAGATATCGCTCTATTTTGGTTCCTTGTTCTTTTTCGTGTACTGGGTGGCGGAACTCGGCATCCTGGTATACAAATATGTGGGCCTGGACCTCCCGTATAACATGAGGGTTGTGTGGACTGAGGTGGCTTTACTATTTTGCCTCGGCGGCGTGGAGTCGACTCGGATCTTCTTGGCCAAGAGAGGGAATTTCACGGCAAGGATGTTGCCGGTGGCGATTTCCGTGATTCTGACCGCACCTGTTGCCATGGGTGTTCTTTACCTGCTGCTGTGGCAGGAGTTCGTGATCCGGCTCGACAGCGTGCTCTCTTCAGTGCAGCTGGGTTTTCTGGGACTCCAGACGTTGTTGGCAATTGTCACCCTGGTGAGATTTGGTGTGGCCGATTCGAAGAGGAGGGCTGAGGCCAGGAAAAATCGTGGAAGCGTTAGCAACTGAACTTTCAATTCCATCACATACAGCTCTATGCAAGTATTTCATGGTAAGGGGTTTGGCATGTTTTAGACTTTAGATTCGCTTCACTTTAGCTTAACGTCAGGCCTAGTGGATTTTCTAATTCTAACCAGAGATTGAGGCACTTGATTATTTATAAATGGTGACATGATTTTGCCTTCGAATACAGCCATTCCTATCACATCTCCCTCTGTTATTTTCCTCATGCTTCTGCTTCTCACATGAGTGTCAATAGTGCATCAGAACAATACATTATATGTGCAATGAATGAGCTCCTTTTTTTAGTCATGACTCTTGAATCTATCCTCCATAGGAAGAAACCAGAGTGAAGAAAGTTAAACCATGATGGCAGGCTGAAGATCAAGACCATGAACAATTCTGCCTGCCCTCAGATCACCCACTTGTCCGTGTGCCACCATGTGCATTTCTGTGTTGAACACCAATGCATTTGTGTGTCATGAATCTGTGATATTCCATTTTAGTTTTCTGTGTCAGGGGCACCGTTTCCACTCGTGGTGGCTTTGATTATGTACCAATCACCTTCAACTTGTATGCATTTTTGCAATGGTTGCACTATTTTGTCTAGTCTGTTTCACATGTGGTTCCATGAACTTGACATATATTCTTTTTTCACAGCATATCAATGAGACTGAAATGTTTTTCACATTAAGTATTCTTCTAGTTTCCATCTGTCAGATATGTGAATATCTACCAGATGTTCTACATGGAAATAATTGGCATAGGCAGACAGAGTGTCTGCTGTGGACAATCCTCCACACCCTATATGCTCAATGCTATTTGCTTCAGACCAGTGGTGGCAAACTCGATTAGACTGGGTGCCGGAAAGAATGACTTCAGTGGTGATTACGGGCCACAGCAAAAATGTGACACCTTATCCTTAATGCATACAGACTGAAATTTACCATTAGTTTCTGTAATCAACAGTTGAAGAGGACTTTGCAGGCCAGACAGAATGGACTGGCGGGCTGCCAGTTTGACACCCCTGCTTTAGACCAATTTTTTTCTTTGGGTTGGTGCCCTTTGATGAACTGATTGATAATTGAAGGGACTGTGGTGGATGTCGCTTAGGACTATGGTCCTGGAGACATTTTTTTTTAGAGTTCTCAGGCCATTGTGGGTATTGTATTGTTTAGGAGAGAGTCTGTCTTGATTGTGCCAGTACCATATATACCTTTCTGTCTCAAAAATGTTTCACTTGCTAGTAAATACAGAGAGTAAAGACTCTATTTGGCCAATTTTTCACCTAAAAACTTTATATTCCATGGGTATTGGGTAGGAAATTTTTTTTTTGTGTATGGTGGCACTGATCCCTGCTTCTAACTACATTCTTAAAGGATTTTTAGAACTATTAATTCCACTTTATCCATCTACAAGTGATAATTGTATATCTTTGTTTGCTTATTAGACTATAACAGAATATTTTCCTTGAAGAATCCAATTACTATTTTTTTTTAGTTGTTATTTTATTCCATAATTCATGCATAAAAATGTATTAAATATTTTAGTTAATGCCTCCCTTTAAATTTACATATTTTCATTCTTCCTCATTGATTTGTATCAGGTGAGGCTCAATTATGGAGGAAGTCACAAACCACGGAGCCTTTTCAAAGGATTTATTTTCTTCCTATCGTATTGTTGTCCTTGAATATTAAGAAACCAGGTCTGAACATTGTATGGCATTCTGTGTCCTTCAAGGCCCCAAATTTTTGCATTCATGTAGTAAAATCAGTTCCATATTTGTTCTTCTGTAGCATTTTGAGTTCGGTAGAATCTGCTGAGATGGACCCAAACATTATTTTTTTCTTCTGCCAGATATACGAAATCCTCACAATAGAGTGACATTTCACACAATGACCAAAGATGTTGCATCAAGGAGGGAATCGGATCTGCAGGGGCGGACCCCCACTGCCAGAGTACAACCCTGGTCCCCGCTGACCCTCATAGAATCTGGGGACGTTGAGCAGCCATACCTTGCTAGCACTCCCATGCACGCAGTGTGAGTTCTCATTTTCCTAGTGCCTTGTCCTATTTTTAAATGCATTCTTTGCCAAAGGTTACCCCAGATTGCTTGAAGATTTTGTTGGGAAGCATGGCATTCATTGCTTAGATGGACTCAGAAATATTGGTAAATTCATCATTTGTTGCAAATTGGAAGTGTGGGAGGAGGGGGAATTTGTGTGGAAGATGGAGACCAAGTTAAAAAAAAAGGTATATAATCATCTGGTAACATAATCCTAAGAAACATGGAGAAGTAAAGAAAAATAATGAAACTTGCACTTTCATGGACATGTCTTCAAAACCCTTACTCGTGAAACTTTGCCAGGCTTTTAATTTTTTTTTCTTCAAATTTCATGCTGAAAAAGCCTCGAGAACTATGCTTTCTGGAAAGTGGAAGCCAAGAGGCATTGAAAATATTTGATATGAATCAGTCAGTTGCGTTTTGAAGCATAGGAAGCAGTTATGGATTTCTGGTCATGGAGAGAGGGTTTCCCAGTATTTAGATGAGTTAGACTTCATTGTGGTACAAATTAAGTGCTATCTATTGGGATGCATCATTTCCCATTATTATCAAAATAGGGAAAGAGGAATGAAATTGTTAGTAAACTTTCCTATACATAAATTGCTCTGGTTCTTGTTGACTAAACAGTTTTGATGAAATATTAAAGCAAAACATAGTCCGGCTGCCCCTATGAGCACTGATGCAAAGATTCTTGGAAAGCAGGAAATTTGTCTATCACTTTTGTTGAGGGAAGGTGTGATAAATGCTGGCTGTGAGCAACTGCTTGTAACCATGGCAGTGTGCCTGAGTTGATACCTGTGGAAATGCATGGGGCCCTGCAGTCTGTCACCAGACACTTCAGAGAAGAATCAGACCAGGCAAATCGTGCCATGTTCTCACAATTGAATGAGAAAGTGGTTCAATGTTTGGGGCATGGACCCCCTTGAATGTGATGATCGGTTTGTATTTTTCAGGTTATACATATAAAAATGGGCTTGTGCAATAATTATATTATTTTTTAAACACCAGATTTGCTCAAAGATTCCAAAATTTCTGTTCACAATCCTCATTCATGTGTTAAACTTTCTGTATTCTTTGCCTTCCTGGAGGGGCTAAAAGTGAAGGACATTCGTCAAATGATGAGACATTGGTACTTTTCCTCTTGGTGTACAATGAGTGTTGTTTGCTTGCTTCTGTTGCATGAAATTATTTTTGCAGCTCAGGCAGACTTTTGCATTGGGACTATACAGTTATTGTTTCAAAGTAGCATGCATCAGCATTAGCATATACTTTGAAGGTGAACGAATAGTTATGACTTTTATTCTGGAAAAGTTCCCAGCAGCACTTCACACTGAAACATTCTGGAATTCTCATAACTCTTTGTGTATTTATCAGCATGATCCTCCCAAAGGAAGAGGATTTGCTTAACTAAAATAAAAGTTAAGTGCTCGACTGCTTCATGGCACTCCTTATAGCTTGGGGAGTAGAGACTGGTGAATAACCATGTCAGGATGAATATCCTTAATGCCAGCACAACCTGCAATTGAGTTTCCCTGTTATATTACCACTTTTCTGATCAGAATTTGCATTATTAGCATGCAGCTAAGGGCAAATGAGTCAGTACCCATGAGGGCCATGGTAGAGCTGAATTCATCGTGTAGGATCTGGAGGACTTTCCTTGCTCCTGCTTCTCCACCGTAGGCGAGGCCCCAGATCATGGGCCGCCCCACAAATACCTTTAAGGAAGGTCTGTATTAGTAATGTATTTTAATGTTTCTCGTACATTCTACCAAAATTTACAACTCTCAAGACAAAAAGTGGGATTAATATGATTAAGTGTGTTGTGGTTTAAGAGGCGCACAGCACAATCCTGAGTTTTTTTCATGACTCTCAAGGATGTCACTATATTTTTATGTTGGGTCTTTCCAATCACATGTCATTAGCATGCTATGTGACTATAATTGTGTGCTGATGTTTGTACATATATGTGCGATCAAATGAATATTTACTTATAACATTGCTGAATGTAAAATTTGAAGAGAGGGGGAGATATGAGATTTCTGGCATGAAAAAAAGCATCAGTTTGCAATACATCCTCACCATTTTGGCTCCAAGTGCCAGGGCCTTGAATACATCTGTTCCATTAGTGATACCTCCATCAAGATAGACCTCACACCTTCCTTTGACCGTTTTGACTACTTCTGAAAGCACATCTATCTGAAAGTAGAAAGTAGAAATTAATGACAATAAGTTGTTCACTGGCAGAAATTCAAACATTTTCTTTGCTAACATCATGTCTTGAATGAGTACTACTTATAGACAAAGCACTTGACTTATTTCTGTGTCTGACAGTTCAGCATAACCTAATGAGAACCATGTAATAGTTTCTACTAACAGTAGCAGGGACTCCATCAACTTGTCTTGCTCCATGATTTGATACAAGGATGGCAGCCACATTGTAGTGTAAGGCCTCCTCTGCATCCTCAGCTGTCAGGATCCCCTTGACAATGATGGGTAAGCTGGAAATGCTAAAAAAAAAAAATATATATATATGGTTTTCAAGTTACTTTTTAATGCTTTCACATGCTTCATAAAATGTGTTGATATTTGAATACCTTGACAGCCATTTGAGGTCTTTCCATGTGACAGAAGGGTCAAACATTGACATGACGTATTCACTGATTCCTGATCCGCCTGCTGATACTCCTGCTTGTTTAGCTGCCTTGGAATCCACATTGAAGTTTGCCATGCTAGTCAGAAGCAATTCATATTCATCAATGAGTGATGAGATATGGACATTCTCATTATTAGCAGAAGACTGATGAATCATGAAGATTTGTTATGTTTTTTGTGTCAGGTTATTTTAATGCACATTTTGTAATTTGACTATTATAAATGAATTTCCTCACATATTTACCACTTGAGAAAACATTGTGTATTTGTTAGAATAGAATAAAAGGCAAGGTCAAGGGATGGAAGGTTGTCAAAATTCTCCCTTTAGTGATATATTGATTTATCGCAGTGGCGGATACAGGGGGGGGGCGGGGGGGGCGACCGCCCCCCCTATGGCCAGGTTAGCATTTGATTTATTTATTCAAAATAGTATCTGCATTAAATTTTATCGGAGCCATCTAAATAGACACTCAAGTTCTTACCCCAGACGAAAAATAAAAAAGGCGAAAGGACGAGGAATGGTGGTAGGCGGGGGGGGGGGGGGGGGGTAGGAACTTGGGAACTGCCCCCCCCCCCTATGAAAAATTTCTGTATCCGCTCCTGATTTATCCTCCCAGTATCTGCTCTCATCTCTAAGCCTCCTGAAATATGATCTTGTCCCACTCTCTGCTGATCAAGTTTCATATTTAAAATGGATAAATAACTTTTGGCCTAAAGTTGGCATATTACAGAACTTCTCGTGCTATGTGGATAGGATGCAGACTCAGCCTTATAACAAGTTTTCCAGACTTGAGAAACAAGAAAGTATTTGGGAAGTATGTTATGGTTCTAGAAATGGGATGAACATGTCTTGGAAGTTGTTCCAAGAACAGGTTGATTCTGAAAGTATTGTGGGTGTTATACGTCCTACCGATACAAATCTCTACTAACCGTAAATGTGGAGGGAGGATGAACTTGTTGCGTACGTCAGCCAACCTCCGACCAAAGTGTGGTGCATCCACAGTGAGAACCAGGGCTTTGAACCCTGCTTGCTTTGCCCTAATAACTAAGTCATGGGTCATGCTCCTGTCTTTGTAGATGTAGACCTGAAACCACTTGATAGACTTTGGAGCTGCTCTTGCTACCTCCTCAATGGATGAAGTTGCAATGGTGCTGAGGGTGAAGATGGTCTCCATTGACTCTGCAGCTGGTAGGATTTGACAAAGTTATAATATTTTTTATGTTGCTGGAATTGTTTGGCATTATTGAGATCTGAAGGAAGCTTCACTTTAGAATTTGCAAGGATTCTTACCTCTTGCATTGGCACATTCTCCATCTGGATGTGCCATTCTTTGCATTGCTGTTGGTGCCACTCCAATGGGCATGCTCACTCTCTCGCCGAGAATAGAAGCAGAAAGATCCCTTTTTCTGACGTCCCGCAGGACACGTGGTCTCAGGCGATACCTTTTCCGACAAATTTAAAATAATTAATGACACTGTTCATAGAACAAACAAGTAAATGGGAGCCAATCACACATACCTTTGAAAGGCTGCTCGATTATCCAAGAGCGTCTGTTGGTGATCTGCCCCACTGCGGTAATAGTCCAGGGCATTTCGGGGGAGAGTTGAATAAGCATACTTTTCGAAGTCCAGAATGCATACTGGTGGACAGTTGCTGTCCATGGCTTGGTGGTGAGGGTTTTTCAATGTTTAGTTGTGTGCAGTATTAGATCGGGTTAAACTTTAGGTTGTACATTATTGGATTGGATATTCAGGATCTTTTGTGTTTCCTTATTGTGCATAGTTTGTCTGCTCCATTTATTCATAAATTACTCTTTGAATTTTTTCTTTTAATATATATCCTGTGGCTTTATATGTGCAAGCAATTATTAAGGGCAATCTAAACAATTTTTTTAACATGAAGATTATTGTCCTTCTTTTACTGTAATCCTTTAAGATGTTTATGTTTTCATTTTGATCACTTACCTGTTATCCCCTGTTTTTGCTTATACTAGCAAAACGATTTAAGTTTCTCAGTAAAACCTTTATATTGTTAGTCATCTGTTAAAATGAGCGAATTAAGTTTGAAAGATAAGGGATAAGTATTTGTCCTCTGTAGATGACAGTGTGAGAATTGATGAGTCTTTAGCTCTACACCAGTAAGTTAAGTGTTTCAACTCTTTAGTAGTAAGCTAAAAATTCTTGAAGTATGATTCCTTAGTCCTAAGAAAATGGGAGAACCTTGTTCAAGAAATTTTCAAAATTGCATATTCACCCTTTGGTCAGGTCAGTCATATTATTTCTTCAGCCACAACCTGTGTGCATCATTGATGACATGTAAGGCCTCAAATCCCTCCATACTGCATTTCATGCAGTAGGTGTCACACAATGACCTCATGGGATTTTCAGTGAAATCTCTCTCATAACCCTTTTGCTACTATTTTCGACTTGAGTCAAAGTCCTTCTCATACACTTTGAATAAGCTGCGAAAGGGTTTAGAAACTTCTCTATTTGGAAGCAGTACCAGCAAAGCTTGGCTTTTTATCTGGAGTTCTGCGTAGTGTCCTCAATGGTTTGTATTTCATTTACCCACTCTTATATGCTGGTCAATTTCATTGAAGTTCTATAGTTTAGGAAGAAGTGACTGATGGATGACCATGTCTTTCTCAATATGTTTGATGCTGGAACAACCTAAAAAAAAAAAAAAGGGAGTGAGATTGTAAAAAAGTTGACAACTAAGACTAACTCTACTGAATAGGATTGATTAATTAAATTATCCTCCTACTTACCCATGAGTGCCATTGTATTACTGAGCTCATCTCTGAGTATGGACAGTGCTTTTTCAACACCTTGCTGCCCACCACATGCAAGGCCATAGAGAATCCCTTTGCCTACAAACACCTGTTGGGAGAGAGAGGGAAAAAAAAAGCAAACAGAACTCAGACAAGGAAATTATTTACATTGTACTTTTTTTGTAGCAGTATTATCTTTACTAGGAAGGTGGATATGAATAATTTATGTTTGGTCATAGTTTCATTCTTTACCTGTTTTGGTAACTTTATAATGCATAATTACATTCCTGGAGATTTTTGTTACATCTGCATCCTTTGGATATTTTGAAAAGGAATTCCTTGCTTGAAATATTGTTCTAGGTCAGAGTTCTAAAATTAATTTAATGCAAGCAAAATTCAAATTTGATCTTTCTTTGAATTGAAAGTCTGGTGAAGTTTTTTTCTGAAAACTGTTCTATGCAGGTAATTTTAGCAGTATGTTATAATCTTCCCAACCCCATATTGTGTTGAACCTGAGAGAGAGGTCTATTGGTAATTGTTTTTGTTTTCTTGCTATTCTTAGATACAGAAACAGTATTCACTTGTTGGTGTTGTCTAATAGGTTATGAACACACTATCCCTCTACATTCTTCTCCTCATGATTGTATTGAAAGTTTAATAGGTTATGTGGTTGCTCATGATTTTTTCAAGAAAGGCAGGTGTGCATATAAATCATTGAGATTTTCTTCCTTTTCCCTTGAGATTGGTTTTCATCACCCCTCTGGTACATATATCTATATGCCTAGAAGGGGCTTGGTTGTCGCAGAATCCATTAATAAAATTTGATTGGTTTGAAATGATATAAGAAATATAAGAATTTGAATCAATATTGAAGGATTTTCAGGTTAGAATGAGATGTACCATTTGAGCCCCCAGTGCCAGGGCTTTGAAGATATCTGATCCATGAGTAATTCCACCATCAAAGTATATTTCACAGCGTCCATCCACTGCTCGGACGATCTCGGGCAGCACGTCGATCTGGAAACGAAATTAAAGTCTAAGTTTTGCTTCTCAATGATATTGCATTGTGAACTCACAGTTGCAGGCACCCCATCCAACTGCCTTGCTCCGTGGTTTGATACAATGATAGCAGCTATGCCGCTTTCAGCTGCCAGTTGTGCATCTTCTGCGGTCATGATACCTTTCAAAATCAGTGGAAGTTTGGTGACCCTGGGGAAGAAGATAAAGGGTAATTGAATTGTAAGGATTAGAATAATTACATTTTTTCCCATCATTGTAGTGTCATATGGACAGGAGTACATTTAAGGGCTAATATATATATTTTTTCTGAGTTTTTGCTTCTGTGAAAAGTTATATTTCATATATAATATTCCACTGATGATGCAATTACTCATATATTCAATGAATCTTTAATTTGCCTATTCAAGTGGCATTTTACAAAATAATGCAGAATTTTATTTTTTATAGCGTATTTATTTAGCTGTCCTATTTTCCTTTCTTTTTTTTTCACTTATCCTCTTATCTCTTGCTGCTCTCATGGAGAAGGATATTATGATGATGACATACTTTTTCATCCACTTGAGATCCTGCCATGTAAGGCCCTGGTTAAATGCTGCCACACTGGTGTTTAGGTTCCTCTCTCCTGAAGCATCTGGCTTCTCAAAGTGGCACATCCTGCGGTGACAGTATTTGTCCTATTATTGTGGGGCCATGATGGGAAGGAAGAAGCCATGAAAGTAAACATTAAATCGCCTTAGTCGGTATCAGCAGCTTCATTTAAAATGAACTAGATCATGCTTCTTGTTTTCTGCCCTTCACCAAATTCAGTTCCTGTGTGATTCTCATTGAGCATGTTATTAGATGGCCACATTATGATATCATGAGTCTTGCTTCTTAGTTATATGATGTATTCAAACTCACCTGATGTCATCAGGAAGGAAGAATTGCTGCCTGAGTTCGATCTCGCGTCTGCCTAGTATCGGTGTGTCCACCGTGACGACCAGAGCTCGATACCCGGCATTTTCAGCCCGATGGATCAGCGCTTCTGTGGCGTCTTGAGCTGCCATGACATACAGCTGGAACCATTTCATTCCATTTGGGGAACTTGTTGCAACATCTTCCATGGGGATGCTGGCTGAAGTACTCAGGATGTACAGGGCTCCCATGGTTTCTGCAGCTAGAAATGCAGGAGAAAATGTAATCTCTCCTTACAGGATTAGAATATAGAGTCGAATTATTCAAGCATATAAGCCAGAATTTGAAATCCATTAAGATTGATGTGAATGTTACATCAATTATGGCAAAGAAGGGGTGTGTGTCCTGTAGGAGCAGCATACAAAATCTATTTTTACATGAGTCAATTCTGATGGTCTCCTTGCCTGAAGATTTTTTCCTGCAGATTCTTTTCCTGTACTCAGTACTCATACAGTACCAGGTTCCCATAGGTCTAAACTCTGGGAAGAAGTTTTTAATGACTTATTTGGAGTTTCTTTTAAAGAATACGTGAATACCAACCAAAATTTTCCCTTTTCATCCATGACCTTGGATCCTAGAAGAATAGGAATCTCATTAGCTGGAAGTATGTACATTGCATTACAACTACCATTGGGTAAAGCCTTAAGATAGTTTTAATACAATGTTCATGCATTATAACATTACACTGTTATCGAATCGAGCATTCATGATCTCTCCCTGATAAACTGTTGCTAGGTTGGGCTGTTTCTGAGGGTGGCTTTGCAAATGCTTAGTTTGAAAACAAATTATTTTATGTTGTGCAAACTTTAATGGTTTTACCCTGCAAACACCCCTCAGATGTTACTTGATAATATATGAACAATAATGCTTTAATGGGAGCTGTGGAAACTAGAGAAATTGGACAAGGTAGTGAGTACGAATTCTAAGAAAAATTCCGAGATTTATTTATTTAATCATTTGAGTAATTGAAAATGATTATGTTCATGTGTTAAGTAATTGATTATCCTCGAATAGGAACCAGGTCTATCGAAGGAAGAAGTACAGGAAAAATATTCATGCTTGCACTCGTCAAGCATGATGGTGTTCACTGCCATCAATACCCTTTGCAGTTGCAATCTCGCCATCGGGATGGATCAATTTGTTGATTCCAGTTGGAGCAATGCCAAACGGCAGTGAGACCTGCCTTCCCAGCACCGTCGCAGTCAGGTCTCGTGCGGTCACGTCTCTCCGCAGGCATCTTGGCCTCAACTTGTACCTATGGGGAAATTAATTTTTTTTTTACATTTTGCTTCAGGGCTGACCCAGGGTATAGGCACTTTCATTTTTAGAGATATTGGCACAAGCAGCAAACCTACAGGAACAATTGGGATTTTTTTTAAATCAAAGCATGAATTGCAATTAAAGGGTTCTCAACTGACTCATGACATAAGTAAATGTGAGGAATGATGAAGGTCTGGAAATGTCTGATTTACTTCATAGTTAGAAGTGAGATCCAAACATTTCACCTCTGGAAGGCGTCTCTGTTGTCCCGCAGAGTCATCTCCGGGTAGGCCCCGTTCTTGAGGAACATCCATGCGCTTCTCGGAAGGATGTCTCGAGCTCGTTCCTCCAGGTCGGCGATGTAGATCGGCATCTTGTCGCTTTTTGTGGGGGGGGGGGGGGGGGGGGGCCTTGTGCCCCCTGAGCCCCTATGAATCGCCGCCNGGGGGGGGGTCGACCTTGTCGCCCTGGTGGGGGTGACCAGTGCCACTGGTTGGATTGGATTATTTCGGTGGAATGATTAATATAATTTCACCGCATGATTTCTAAGGAGGTTGTAAAGAAAAGGTTTATTCTTAGTATGCGGAATGGTTTTAAGTATACGTCCATAGCTGATTGTGAATTTTCTTTTCTCCTTTGGTAAGATGATCCCATCAACAGATTCAAGAAAATAAGTGTGCACTTATTTTATTGCAGTAACGTGTTGTCACTTTGTATTATCACTTTTACGCTCGTAATAAAGGTCATGAGTTGATCTGTTAGATTTAACTTGTGATTGTTACATGGACTGAGCCTGTCCTTTTGTTCATGAGGACCTTTATAAGTTTTACTTTGGTGCAAAAGTGGCTGTGCAATTTCCGATATCATTCTCACGCTGATAGCTGATAGCTGATGTCTGATAGCCAGGAGTTGCCTGAAGTTACGTTCAGTTGTGGTGTCGAGATGGACTGACTCACTTTTTTGTTTTTTTCCTTTTATGACCGTAGGAGTTGGAGTGGCTCAAAAACCTGAGCTGAAAACGAGCAAGTGAATAATAATAATAAATAAATAAATAAATAAATTGAAAGTACCCTTTTTTTTTTACTTTAAAAAGCGGTTTTCTGTCTCTGTGAGCTCAATTGATTTCAGTCTCAACCGAAGCATTATACAGTGGTACCTCGCATAACGAACGCAATTCGTTCCAGCGGTGCGTTCGTTATGCGAAACACGATTTCCCATAGACGTCTATGGGAAATCATGTAATCCTTTTCATATATTTTCATAGCTATACCATTGAGTGGCGAGTGTGTGGGTGCATGAAAGACAGCTCACCGGACAAGTGATGATCAGGTCTGTGTCGACTTTCGTGGTGAATGTGCAACGGAGGCAGCAACAGTGGTACACGTGTACACTATTTATGTGTACATAAATAGTGTACACTATTTACACGGGTTATCGGCCGACCGCTGCGCGGGCTGTCCTTCACGCTGGCGGGAGAAAATGTTCGTTTATCCCATGCTGATATGTTGCTTTACGCGGATGTGGCTTTCCAAATCGTGTCTGACTTGACCTGTCTGGTGTGCTGCCTTTCATGCACCCACACACTTGGCACTAAACGCACCTCGATGGTGTAGCTGCTCGTGTCTGCCACGGCGGACACCGTGGCTGTGTTGTCGCAGAATAGTGAACCATCCACCGCGTACGCGGCAAAGCTCGGTCCTAGTGCGCGGCGACACAACTCGTCCGTGCACTCTACACGTGTACCCATAAAAATCTTGAGATTAAGTATTTTATATATTTTTATATAGAAAGGCAGATAGGGTTACGGTGACTTTTCGGCCACCCTGTATATTTGGTCATTCCAGGTTTTTTTTTGTTGCTGCAGTATTTGCAGATTTCCTTCTTCCATGCTCGGTGTCGATTGCAGAATCCGTCGTCATGACGCGGAAAGGGAGTCCTGGTGGGCTTTGCCCTGGTGGGCTTTTCCCACGTCTGATAATGTCATTTTCTGACCGCCGCTCTCGATCAATTCGGAATTCGGAATCGTGCCTCGTGTCCCATATTCATGAAATTCGTTCGAGGGTATTGGCTGTTCGCCGGAGATTCTCGCAAAAAAAAAATTCGGAAAATTTCCTGCCTCATCATTCGAGGGAGAAGCCGCACGGCGAAGTCGAAGCGTGCTTGAAGAGGTACTCGTGCGTAGTACATATTGTGTCAGATGGGTCGTTCTTGTGTGTGCAGGTGCAGGTGCAGGTGCAGGTGCTTCTGGTGTGCTCACGTCTTGTGTGTGGTACATGGGTACTGCTCCTTATTTAACAATTCTGCGTCGTTCTGGGTATTTCTGGGTCTTTTTTTTTTAACTCTTGCACCCTTGGAGCGACTGAAAGTGTACTTTTTACGTCACTTCCTAGCACTACCCGATTTTTCTTTGGTATCTCAATGTGCATTTGTCCTTGGCTCAAGGTGCAGATGTGCACTGAGACCAAGAGGAACAATTTATTTGAAAGCTCTTGGTCTAGACGCCAATCATTATCGCTGGGGAGGGAATGATTGGAGCAAACGAAGCTACTTTCTCTGTTCTTCAAATGTGTTCAGCGACCAATTGGTTAAAGTTTTTGGTTTTTGAATACCGGTATTTAAAAAAAAGCCGGATTCAGTATATCATTGCCAGTATATATTTCCTGTTTTCACATTTGTGTCGACAAAACGAGAACGATATGGAAGGTGTCAACGTCACGATGGCAAGCACTATGGGGGAATAGACATGAGCAAACTGAAAGAAAAAATATATATGGTATAGAGTGGAGCAAAAGTCACTATGTAGTTGTGGAATATAGGAAATAGTTTGAGTTCTTGCATCATGTTGAGTGTTGTTTGCAACAAAACACAAAAAGCATGGAAAAGTGATCATACAATGTAATTTCAGAAGCTACCAGCATCATATATTATTCTACAAAGAGAACCAAATTAGCAAAACAGCTATTTTCAGTCTACAAGAACTGTATAGATTGAATACGGGGTGGGACACATAATTTTAATTTAAACTTTGTTTTTAAAGGTATAAAAACTAGATCATAAGTCAAATCTCCTCCGATAGGAGTAACATACTAAAGTAATAATACACAACCTTGAAAAGTTAAATTCATGATATCATTCACAAGGCGTTACCATGCTTTGCTTGAACTTGGGAACTTCATTGCAGATGGGCAAGATGAGCTGCACTGAGGAGCTACACATGCAAACCTTGCCTCCGTCTGCAAGGCGGTTGTCTACGGTGTCCTCCGCACCGTGGTGGCTGCAAATGTATTCGAACACTATGTGAAGGTAAGCCTGGAAGCCCCTTATTATCTTGAACTTTTGGTTGTCCTTTTATTCACTATGCTTGGAGTGTTTTCATTCACTTAAGTGTGTGCACTGATTTTTTCTCATCAATTGGATTTTCTCTTCCTTATACAGTGATGCAAATATTTATATTTTCATGTGTTGGAAATTTTGAGTTTAAATGCTTTTCTTCATCAGTGCTAAAATGATTATGGAGGCATCATCAAGGCAACTATTGGAAAGGCAAGGGAGATCAACACGGTGAACTGTGCCCGGACACAGCCAGCCTCTTCGCGATCTACCAGGAGATCCATCAGAACAGCCAGAAAGTCAGAGGAGTTCATGCACTTCCAGGTGAGACTTCATATTGCCACTGCAATTATCTGCTTTTTGTTTTTGTGATGTCTGGTGGCCCTCATTTGTCCTTTGAGTCATGAATTTCCATTTTCTCATTTTTAATCCCATTGAAAGGTGTTTTTCCAGAAAAAAGTCCGCTCTCTTACGAGTTCAAACTGACATATTTTTTGTGATGTCTGGTGGCCCTCATTTGTCCTTTGAGTCATGAATTTCCATTTTCTCATTTTTAATCCCATTGAAAGGTGTTTTTCCAGAAAAAAGTCCGCTCTCTTGCGAGTTCAAACTGACATATTATTTTCTTTGAGCTTTCATGAGGAGTCCTTTACCATCCAGCACACTATTTTTTTTGAGTCATAGCACAAAGCATAAGATTTTGCATTTTGCATTTCTCTTAAAAGTTAGTTTTAAAGTAAGCTTCAATCTATGGCCTCATGTGGTGTGTCTATGGAGATTCTCTAAATTTCAGAAGTATTTTAACTACTCACATCACATGTTGTTTCCATTTTTACAGTTGTTGCTTTTCAAATGGCATCACTGGGCGCTTTGAAATATTCCTTAGACCTTAGCAACTGGAAGATATATGGTTTGCGACCTCTTTCGGTTAAGACAACCGACATAATTGTACCTCGTAAGTCTTACTAGGGTAATTTGAGTAAAATTTATAACTGTCGAAGAAAAGGTAAATGAGTCGCATATTATTCATGATTTGAGCTTAATGACAATCTCCTTATGTGAGGATTCATAATTAAGTCCAATATTTTCTTTGCATGGAAAATACATCACTTATAAAATATTAAACTTACTTTTTTTCCATCCTTGTCACCAATATAGTGTTGGACATATGGTTTATGTTGCCCTAGGAACTGGCGAAGCAGTTTGCCCTGAGTTGGGATGCGAATATGGGATTTGAAGCCATTTCTGATTCATATGTGTGCTTTTCTTGATCTGTGCAGAAATTTGCTCATAGATGCAATTTCTTATTTCTGATTCATACATGTGAGCATTAAATACGAATTTGAAGCTGCTGCATGTTTTTGTTTTTCTCACTTCTTTTGCCTATTTTACTGGCTATATTCAGCCTGTTAGTCATTCTGCCCTTCAAAGTTCTGCATCACTTTTGAAAGTGCATTTTCCTTGCAAGAGAAAATGACTTTCAGGGCAAGTATAACACACCATTGTAATAAAAAATCCATGCATACAGCTTAGTTGTTGGTGTGAATAAAGTCTGATTCAAGAGTCTTCACTTTTTCAGATTGCCATCATTCGATATTGGGCACTCAGCCCCCTGAAGTGACACCATTGACATGAATTCAGATAACTTGAATCAAGGGCCTTCATGACTCACATAGCTTTGCTTCTTAGATTAATGTTAGCTGAAACTCATGAAAATTAATGCATATTTTGGAAGTGGTTCATAGTTCACTGCCTGCACAATTTTTAACCCTTTAAGTGAGTTCAATGCCCACTATGGTGTATATACTGTATGAGTTAAACATGATAGTGACGTTCAGTGCGACTTTGATTAAAACTTGCTGGCAGGAAGAAAACTATATCTTTAGTTTATACAAACTTGTTTTCTACATGATGCTCACACAGTTGTGCAGAATTGCAAACTTATTACCATTGATAGGGATCTTCAGCAATATAAATTTACCAGCTTGAAAGGTGAATGAAACTTCTGGAATCGTTGACCTTCTATATACCAAATGCTGGAGAAAGCCAATTCTGTTGGCTGTATTAACATGGAGCATTCAGAATGATCCCATTAAACTCATTTTAAATATTGACAGCTTCTTTTCCATTTCCCCACTTTGAGTCGCATATTATTCATGATTTGACCTTAATGACAATCTTCTTATGTGAGGATTCATAATTAAGTCCAATATTTTCTTTGCATGGAAAATACATTACTTATAAAATATTAAACTTACTTTTTTTCCATCCTTGTCATCAATATAGTGTTGGACATATGGTTTATGTTGCCCTAGGAACTGGCGAAGCAGTTTGCCCTGAGTTGGGATGCGAATATGGGATTTGAAGCCATTTCTGATTCATATGTATGCTTTTCTTGGTCTGTGCAGAAATTTGCTCATAGATGCAATTTCTTATTTCTGATTGATACATGTGATCATTAAATACGAATTTGAAGCTCCTGCATGTTTTTGTTTTTCTCATTTCTTTTGCCTATTTTACTGGCTATATTCAGCCTGTTAGTCATTCTGCCCTTCAAAGTTCTGCATCACTTTTGAAAGTGCATTTTCCATGCAAGAGAAAATGACTTTCAGGGCAAGTATAACACACCGTTGTAATAAAAAATCCATGCATACGGCTTAGTTGTTGGTGTGAATAAAGTCTGATTCAAGAGTCTTCAATTTTTCAGATTGCCATCATTCGATATTGGGCACTCAGCCCCCTGAAGTGACACCATTGACATGAATTCAGATAACTTGAATCAAGGGCCTTCATGACTCACATAGCTTTGCTTCTTAGATTAATGTAAGCTGAAACTCATGAAAATTAATGCATATTTTGGAAGTGGTTCATAGTTCACTGCCTGCACAATGTTTAACCCTTCAAGTGAGTTCAATGCCCACTATGGTGTATATACTGTATGAGTTAAACATGATAGTGATGTTCAGTGCGACTTTGATTAAAACTTGCTGGCAGGAAGAAAACTATATCTTTAGTTTATACAAACTTGTTTTCTACATGATGCTCACACAGTTGTGCAGAATTGCAAACTTATTACCATTGATAGGGATCTTCAGCAATATAAATTTACCAGCTTGAAAGGTTGATGAAACAATACTGTTCCATTATGCAAGAATTAGAATTGAAAGAACTCTCATGTAGTATAATGACAGAGAAAGACTGAGAAGCAAGAGCTTTTCATAAGTAGCCATTGATATATTATTGTTGTCATGAGTTAGGTCTTTTCCAGTGAATTTTTTGCTCTAATTTTTCTAAGTAACACCTCTCTGAGCAGTTGCTGTACTTGTGTATGGCTGAGGAATCACAAATGAAGGTAGAATCTCGAATTGGTTTTTTGTCCGCCCAAGAATTAGAGGAAACCCTGCTGCCAGAACTCTGCACCGTTGCAGCACCTCAAATCTCTGATGTGTTCGAATGCACCACAGGCACATCTTGACTATGGCCATCATGTTTCTCATCCTGTTGCAGGAAACATGGCATGTTTGCCTTTTCTGTACGTCTGATATACGAGATTCTCCTCCAAGAGGAAGAAGTGAAGAGTATTTTTCTTTAATTTTTGCCTTCATGCCAAACTTCCCAATCAGATCATGTCAGAGGATAATGTCATCATCAAAGAAGAGACCCTCGATCATACCTACGGATTAGAGCACGGTGAGCCGCCCTTCATGATTGACAATCTAATCCTTGCACTCACCCCAAAGTAATGCATGCTTCTCGTCTCAATGTTTAGAACAAGGAGGAACCCAATACATCCTCCCGCATTCCGACCTGGGGCCCGTGAAGGGAAATTCAGTCAAGGCAGAGGAGGTGGATGATGGTCGTAAAGAAGTTCTTATGCGATTGTTGACTACAGTGAGTTTGGCCAGGTGCTTCATGTCTGCCCAGTTTAAGTGCCTCTTGTTCCTTGGACTTTGTAAATTTTTGAAGTTCATATTTGGTGATTTTGGTGGTGATTACCTGAATCCTGTGTTGGTAGCAAGGTCTGCAGGGCTATAGGGGAAACTGGATGTAAATTTCTGGGCAGAGCCACTTATCAGCCCTTGCATCTATGTGAGATTTGGTTCCTTGGGTGGAAACAGTGGTATTGACATTTTCTCTCCTTCAAACAAATATTTTACATGTTTGATTATTTACCCAAGTCAAATATGCTTTGCATAACATGCATAATTCACTTCATGACACTACTTAGAGTCCTAATCTAGATTATTTTCTTAGATGAAGCCCTGCGTCAAGTGTAACCTTCTAAATGAAGTAAGAATTGTTTGTGAGTGGGAATATGTATCACATGTACCAGTCTTCTTGGAGGTGAACTTCACATGCATCTCCTTGTTGTAAGGACTAAATTCCTCTATGTCCTTGTACTTTCACAAAAAGGTAACATGCAATCATATGTGAGGTCTTGTAATTTGTGGTGATTTTGACCTGTTTCTTTGATTTTTTATTGAACTTGACTCCCTCCCAATGCAGACTCAGTCATCGAACAGTGAGTCCAAAGAGTCTTCTGATGAGCAAGAATGTCCAGTAGAACGTCTGCAGCCAGAAATTGAGACAAACCCTCCCAGGACCGTCAAAGGAGCAGTCGTCTGCATTAACATTGATGGCAAAGATCAATCGAGTCACAGTTGTGCTGGCCTCAAGCACACCAATGAAGTTAGAAGCAAAAGAGCAAAGAAAAAGAAAAAACCTTCCACCATCCGGGAGGAAAAACCATTTAAATGCAGTGTGTGTGAGTGTGCTTTCAAAAGAAAGAACATTCTGGCCGACCACATCAAGTCGAGACACTGCGATGACAAACCCTTCAAGTGTCCCCAATGTGACAAGACATTCAAGTTAAAATTCTCTTTAACATCTCATCTTCAGTGCCATTCGGATTTGAAACCCTTCAAATGTGAGCTATGCAAGTACAATGTCAAGTGGAAAAGCAGCCTCAATTATCACATGGTATCCGTCCATTGCGACGATAAACCGTTCAAGTGCGAAACCTGTGGGGAAGCGTACAAATTCAAGCGCCAGCTCACCGTGCACGTGCTCGATCACTCGGATCAGCACCCGTTTCGGTGCGACACCTGTGGAAAGAAGTTCAACAAAAGGCAGGAATTGACCTTTCATCAAGTGACCCATTCGGATCTGAGGCCGTTCCCCTGCAAGGTCTGCGGGAAGGCCTTCAAGAGGGAGTCGCACCTGAAGGGCCATGCCGTCACCCACACGAACGAGAGACCGTTCAAGTGCAGCTACCCCGGCTGTGCACGCTTGTTCAAGACGTGGCAGGGTCTGAGGAGCCACTTTCGTGTCCACCGGATCTTACGCAAGTGAAGCTCTTGGAGAAATGGATACTTATTTTTTTTCATAATGACATTTGGTTTTGAGTTAATGCAGTTTTTGAGAAAGCTTGGCTAGCACTTGACTTTTGCATTGCAATTTTGATTTTTGAAATAATGTGATATTGGTGGGAGTTCTTCTTGTGTACTCAGCAAATATGAGATTTTGCCAAAAGATTGCAAAACATTATTTCCAGAATGAAGCAAACATTGTGTTCTCGTGTCTTTGCATTTGACATTTGTTAGATTTATTTTTTGACAATTACTGAAAATATCTCATTGTATGGATGAGTGATGCATAGTCCAGTGATATTCCATGGTAAGTGTAAACTGAGTGCCTTAATGATGAGTAATGAGCTGCACAAAGCAGTCTTTGCACAGCTCACTCCATGTTTACCGTTGTCCGCCCCAAGTTTACCTTCTTATTTCGAAGCAAAGTGTCTGTCCTGATTCATAGATTTTTTTAGTGATCAGGTAGTTAATGGATAGGATGGGCCACAATGCTGGCATGCAACCATTCGCTGATGGCAAGCAATACTTTGGAGAACTAGTGATTAGCTATTGCACTGGACTACATGTCCTTCTAAGTTCATGTGTCATGGTTCGAAATTTTCAATTATTCTGGTGCCCATTCACCTTTCTTCTGTTTAACAATCATATGACTTCTTGTATGTCCTACAACGTCTTAAAAAGCCAAAACAGTACAATTCCAATAGTTTGCCAAGGAAGGACTGGAAATGCACTTTGTGCTGTTGATAAAAGCATTAGCTTAAGTATATTAATGCATCAGGGAACCACTTGGAAGGACTCAGGAATTTATTTTTCATGACTGTCAGGGTAAAGCATTATTTGACAAATACATTGCATCATCATCATTGACTAGAGCTTGTATTCTTGGCTGTGATTTAGCTTTAATCCAATTATTACAAGTGTCCAATGCATAGAGGGTGATCAATTGTATGGGAATTTGTGCAATGCATGGGGAACATTACAGACTCTGTTAATTAAATGGCAGATGCCGTGAATGATTCTCAGGGTGACTTATTAATTTGTGCTGGCCTTTCTGTTCATGTACCTCAATTACCCAAGGTGCATTTAATTGCCTTTGTGCAAATTGTCACTGCCCTCATTTCTTGCCATATTTTGAATGTTTGTAGTCGCACTGCAAAATCATGAAGATATATTGCATCGTGATGTCCCTCAAGACAAACATGAGTGTTTCCAGTTTTGCTGGATTCCTGCAGCAATGCAGCATTTCTCACTTGAGGCTTTGTTGAATGAATTCACATGGAATTACAGATCCATTATGTCATTTTTATTTGGCTTCACATCAGAACTAGATTTAGTTGCCATCATTAACAAGTGAAATCTGAAGCAATCAGACAGCATGGCGGTAAGAAACCAGATGAATAAAATTAAAACTGAAAATTAAGGAACCAATGTGAGGTTTTATGTTGATTCAAGTTGTGTTTTGCTTCCCCGTATAAAGAAAATGCTGTGTGAAGACTCAAAAAAGAAGAATAACCATGATCTCAGTTGAAAACAAAGGCTATTTTGTGGGTTGTACAATGTGGGTCTTCCTATCCATGACAGCAATTCTTAGATTACATTGTGTCTTTGAGAGTATTAATTTAATCTCATTAGTGGATCATTTTAAAATATTTTTATCATTAAACACTCCTGATTTAGGGAAAGGGTTACTTAGCTTCACACCCAAAACTTAATGGAGGCTTCACAGGTGCACAAGTTAATGTTCATGCTTTCAGTAATCAAGGATGGAAGAAGTTGTATCTGCTGGTAACCAGGTTTTCCATCCGGGTTGTGTCCCATGGGAAACACAAGGTACATTGAAAAAAAGAATGGGAAGGGGTATGGACAACTGGGTGCCGAGAGATTGGGATAAGGGAAGCACTGACATGATCATCTCCCATTATGGTTGGAAGATCAAGGGATCTGGCGAATGTGTTTCTCAACTCCATTTGGAGAATGTCCATCAATCCAGGGATCAGCTGACCAGCCGTGCCCCGGCATGCTGGCCGGTGCAGCTGTTCCCCTTATTGCTGCCCTTCGTGGGTGAGTCCACACCATCTCTTTAATAGCTTGTCTCCCTTCTTCCTGTTCGTTCCAGCATTTTCCCAGTATTGACACTCCCATGGCATGTTGGACTTTTTACAGGGAGACCAAAACCAGAACCATTACTAACTGCCAAAGATCTGTGATTTCCTGATCTTCAGCCAGATATGTTAAGCTGCCCATCCTACTGACTGCACGGCCCTGCTTTTACTTATGACAAGAGGTTTACCAGGGTAGTTATGGTCGTTTTGGATCTTAGGTTCCATTGAGAAATTTCCTCCATGTTCATCATGATACTCAAACAAAAGTCATGATGAAACTAGTGGAGGAAAGGCATCCCCCAAAATCCCATATTTTCATGAACCGCCGGGTTTAACCTTAGTGAGACTAAGGCTAAACCCGTTTTGGACTCAACCGGAATTGCATTTCGATGTTACATTATTTTGTTTGCTTTTGTGGAATGCCATCATGTTCTGGTGAAATGGTATCTATTCCATGTTTTTGCATTTATTAATCATGACCCTAAGTTTTTTTTTTTTTTTTACCAAGTGAGAGCTGATGCCAGGCGAAGGAATAAATGCTCAAAAATGAATCAGCATCACCCCGTGGGCTGATGAAACCTGCAAAGAAATGAACAAATATGTAGAATATTCCCTCGTAAAAGCTCTCAGTTGGCATAATTTGTTGCTTAATACAGTATTGCGATCTCAAAACTACTTGGTTTATCATTTTTCATTTTGCAACTATTTCTCATTTCATTGAACATGCTCGACTCTGACTGCCTAGACGACTTGTCTAGCAATTTTTATGTCTGTTTTATGCAGACTACGAATTCTGCGAATTCTCCAGAACTACAGCTAAAGTGTTTAGCAAAGTTCCCATCTGCCACGAACTTTTGCTCCAAGCTGCTGGTGAGCAAAGTCTCAGCCAGGAGATGAAAGGCATCTGAACCCTCAGCGAAAAAAAAATTTGTGAACCAATTTATAGGATCTGTAATTATACAGAGTCAACCATGTCCTCCCAGGTAAAAAAAATTTTTTCGTGAATTTTAGTCACTGATTCTGTTCCTGCAAAGAACATTGCCATGCCTCTCGAGAACGCGAGCCGGAGCCCCCCGCCCTGCAAAGCGGAGCCCGGTGAGCGCCCCCCCCCCCCCCCCCCCCCCCCCCCCCCCCCCCCCCCCCCCCNCCCCCCCCCCCCCCCCCCCCCCCCCCCCCCCCCCCCTTCACCCCCGCCCCATTCCAATCACTCATTCGTGCTCGTGCGATGAGTGACACCTCCAGTTTCAGACCGACGCGAAGCCTCCCCCAACTCGAGTTTGGCATGTCCCGCCCAGGGGTGGTTCGAGCAGTTCCCAGAGACGACTAAGGTCATCGATGGCGTTGCTCCCCGGGAGGGGATTCACGACAAGGTGAGTTTGTCGTTTGATTTCGCAGTTACATTTTTTTCTATTAGGTGTATTTAAAAATTCCCTGAGTGCATGAGACTCATAGTCCTCAGAAATGTGGAATTGCACGTGTACCGATTCCCATGCTTCTCCATTCTCAATGAACACTGATGATTTTTTAAAAGTTTTTCTGAAGTTTTTGAAATGCTTTGACTGCAGACTGAAAATAATTTTAATTTTAATGCTCTCTGCCCGTCGCCCTAGAATGTCAATGTGTCCTGAGAGAAAAAAAATACGGAAAAAGTTTGTTCGTGCTGAGATGGATGGAATGTAAATCGCACAGGGACGAGTTGCCAATGGTGGCCATTGCCAATGGTGGCCATTTCCAACTTCCCGTAAATTAAAATGTGCTATCATTCTCTGAATGGCCACGTGACTCCTTGAAATTCTCATATTATTCCAATGTTAAAGGAACTTTAATAATATTTTACGTATTTTATTTACGAGTAAATACGCAGTATTTAGTTGGTCTGGAAATGCTTTATTTGTAAGAAAGAATGAATATTTTTGTGGTTGAGCTGTAAACCTTGGCACAACACTGTAAACGTGGACAATGACGTCTCATCTCAAACGAGTTTGTTGTGCACCTCATATTTATATGGTATTTATATGATATTTATATCTGGTGACTCAGAGAGAATGCAGATCTAATAAGGTATTTTGCATTGTTCTCCTGGTGTAGACCAACCTTCCGATAAATTTGTCTCAAGATTCTCCCGGCAGAGAGAATGATCGACAAAGTTGTCTTTTAAGAAGCGATATCAAAGAAGAGAAAGTTGAATTTTCTGGATTTTTCGACTCGGGCTCTGGAGGCGCCGAGCGTCCTTCCGGCTCGGAACCGGCTCGGAACCGGATGGGGACGATTTTCTTCCGGAAGCTTCGCTTAAGGAGGAACCAGGTGAAGACGATGAGCTTGAGATGAACGCTCCTGGTGTGGCTCAAGTCAAAGATGAATGTTATGATGATGGTGGTCGCTGTGAATCTCCTGGCCGCGATGAGGCTGGGAAGAAAAAGAAATTGAATAAAGGGAAGGGGAAGCTGTCTGCTGTCGAGAAGTCCTTCGCGTGTGGCATTTGTGGGGGCGTTTTCAGGCAGAGAGGAGGTCTGAGGAAACATGTCGGGTCGGTGCATTCTGAAGAAACGCCTTTCAAATGCGAGATTTGTGGGGATGCTTTCAGGAGGGAAAGCGGCCTTGGCAAGCATGTCAAGTCCTTGCATTCTGAAGAGAGGCCCCAAAAATGCGAGATTTGTGGGCGCGCTTTCAAGTCGAGCGGGGCCTTGGGGAGCCACACCAGCTCGAGGCATTCCGAAGAAAGGCCCTTCAAATGCGAGGTCTGTGGGACTGCGTCGAAGACGAGCGGGGGGCTGGCGAGCCACATGAAAATGAGGCATTCGGACGTGAGGCCTTTCCAGTGCGACGTCTGCGGGAGCGCGTTCAAACGGAAGGGGCATTTGGACCGGCACGTCTACGCGAAGCACACGGAGGCCAGACCCTTTAAATGCGCGGTGTGCGTGTGCGCCTTCAAGAGCAGGGGGGCCCTGGCCCGGCACGCGGATCGGTGCCACGAGGAGGAGCGGCCCTTCAGTTGCGGGATCTGCGGGAGCACCTTCAGGCTCAGGTGGGACCTGGCCGACCACGTGACCTTGAAGCACCTGCAGGACAGGATCTTCAGGTGCGACGTCTGCGGGTGCGCTTTCAGGAGGAGGTGCAATCTCGAGAGTCATGCGAGCGCGTTGCATCCCCGGGACGAGTCTCAGGGACGCAACGCGCTGACATGAGCCGGTCGGCATTTCTGGACTCGGGCCAATTCGAGGCAATTGAGAGACGATTCACCTATAAATGGGACTTGTGCAATAACGCTGTCAACTGGTAATTGGTAAGAATTTCAGGTCGGCGGGGAAATTGACAACTTTTGCTGATGAGGGGTCATTCATTGGCAGCTTCTTGGTTTCTGCATATACTCTCAGGACATTTAATAAGTAGTGGAAGAAATTCCACATCAGAATGAATTTCTCTTGGATGTGGATCTCATGATTTTTTTTCGGGTGTTATTCTTGGTATTTGGTGAATATATTTTTGGGTAAGCTTGGTGAATTGGTTTTTTTTTTTTGGAAAATGCGCATGTAATTAGTTAAGACGGCGGTCAACATGAGTATTTGACTGCCAACTTTGCCACGCATAAACTCACAACCTGTAAAATTCTTGCGGTTAGGTCTAAAGCAAGTTTAGTTAGTTCGCTGGCCGATGTATTGGGTCTCCGAGTGGGGGGGGGGGGGGGGGCCAATTTATCATTTCAAAATTTTCTGGAGCAACGGACCGTACCATTACGCATCAATGATTGAAGCTGTCGTGTAAATGCCATACGAATCAAATTAATTACTCATGCTTCAATACCATGACTTCCTTCTTGCCGAAAATGCTGTCTCATAAAAAAAAAGTTTGTTTTTTTAGGGAAAATTATCCCTGTCGCTTGGACGATTTAAAGAAAAAGTACTGTTTTTCACAAAAAATTCCAATAGTTGCAGCTCTGATTCATGAAAGATGCTACACAGCGGAATTGAGTGCTAGGGACGCTGACCTCGCAGAGCTCCGACGCCGGAATTTTTTTGTTCCATGATATTTTTTGCCTGTTTTCAATTACGTTCGAAATAGCAGCCGCTCCGACTCAAACAGGCCGCTTCTTGTCCCATGGGGACCAAGTTCCGTGACGAAGTCGGCACGTGACGTCTTGCACTCTTCGTGAGGCGCCACAGCCTGAAGTCCAGATGCGAGAAAAAAAACGGTGATGTTCTGCATTTCAGGCAACCGTTTTTGTGCGAGTGGAATTTTGGATTGAACCTCACAAGCAAGTTTGGTGCAGATTCAAATGCATTTAAATGCATTCATTTAAATTCATTAAAATTCATTTAAATTCATTAAAATTCATTTAAATTCATTAAAATTCATTAAAATTCATTAAAATTCATTAAAATTCATTTAAATTCATTAAAATTCATTAAAATTCATTAAAATTCATTAAAATTCATTCATTTAAATTCATTTAAATTCATTCATTTAAATGCATTAATTGGATTCACAGATGAGGAATCCCTCAACATATTGCTAACACATGACAGGGTTCTCTTTGACTATGCGTGTCCAAGCAACTGACCGTACTTCTCAATTCATTCCCAAGTGCTCGAGAAAGTCAAAACGCCTGAGGAAGGCGGCTCACTGACACCGCTAGCATCGCCCAAAGCAGCGACAAAAGCGAACCTCCATCAGAAGTTCCTCCTCGCCCCCTCCCCTCCTCCCCCTCCTCCCCCGCCGATGGCAGGCAGGGACAAACCCAGCAGCTTCACCTCAGACCTCCTCGCGCACCTGACCTGCCCCATCTGCAAGGAGGCGATGCACCAGTGCGTCGCCGTCCAGCCCTGCATGCACTCCTTCTGCGGCGGCTGCTACTCCC